GCCTGGCATCTGTACTATTAGCAAATATCCTGAGTAATCCCAGTGTTGGGCCATGACTCAAGCAAAGCAGCGGTGTTGATGGCATCATCACTGCCATCATGATCATCATCACCACTATCATCACCACCACTATCATCACCACCACCATCAGCACCACCATCACTACCACCTCCATCATCCCGCCACCATCACCACCATCACCATGATCAATATCAAACTCAGCATCATTATCACCACTATCATGACCAACTCAACATCATCATCACTGCCTCTCTTAACTGAGTATTTATAGCAGATACACCACATGTTAGCTGTCTACTTAAGTCTCTTAGCAGCCCTGTGAGTTAGAGATAAGCACCCATATTACAAAGGAGTAAACACAGGGCTCAATAAAGACAGTAGGTTGTCCCAGACAACACAACGAGATAAGGGCTTGGGCCAAATGGAATCTAAACTGCCCACACCTCCCAGCACTGCTATCCCCAGTCACTGGGGCTGCTACCAACATACTTCCCACTCCCTCCCACCCCTCAAAGAGTCTATCTTTCCACATTATTCCTCAGAGTGGGACGGTTTGTGGTGACCTGGTATCTGTTTTTACCCCTTTTACTGTCCCTTACAGTGCCCCTATATTTTACCATTCTGTTCAGTATGGCTGGAGTACTATTTCTTATCTGCATTGGAACTTGGCCCAATGTGCCCAATGCATCACACATGTGGAAATGGGTGTTGGGTAAAGCACGGTGCTCTGCAGGCTGATGACACAAGGAGGACAGAGCTGTGGGGAAGTACAGTGAATGGCATGTGCCAAAGGAGGGCTGGGCAATCTCCACCCTCCCTATGCAAATGCTGTGACTGGCCTCACATACTCCATAGGCTTGGTTCACAGCCAGTTAGGGGGGCTTGCAGGAGGGAATGAGAGATCACACTAGCACCCCAGGGCAGGGCATGAGGGATTCCTAAGGCGAGGTGCTAGAATGTTCTCTGGGGACAGTCTAACAGGACATGATGTCCAAGGGCCATGGCCCAGAGTCATGACCCTACACAATGTCTCTTGGAGGTAGTGCAAGGTTGTTGTTATTTTGTGCCATCGGGTCAGCTCTGACTCAAAGCAACCCTATGTACAACAGAACAAAACACTGCCCAGTCTTGTGCCAGCCTCATGATCCTTGCTACACCTGAGCCCATCGTTGCAGTCACTTTGTCAGTCCATCTCATTGAGGGTCTTCCCCTGTTTCACTGACCCTCTACTTTACCAAGCATGACATCCTTCTCCAAGGAATGGTCCCTTCTGACAACATGACCAAAGTAAGTCAGACAAAGTCTGGTCATTCTTGCTTCCAAGAAGCATTCTGGCTGCATTTCCTCCAGGGCAGATTTGTTAGTTCTTCTGGCAGTCCATGGTGCTTCCAGTATTCTTCACCAACACCACAACTCAAAAGCATCAACATTTCTTTAGTCTTCCTTACTCATCATCCAGCTTTCACATGCATATGAGGTGACTGAAAGTACCATGGCTTGGGTTAGGCACACCTTAGTCTTCAAAGAGACATCTCTGCTCTTCAGCACTTCAAAGGTCTTTTGCAGCAGATATGCCCAGTGCAATATGTTGTCTTGACTGCCGCTTCCATGGGTGTTGACTGTGGATCCAAGTAAAACAAAATCTTTGACAATTTCAATCTTTTCTCCATTTATTGTGTTGCTGCTTATGGTCCAGTTGTAAGGGTTTTTGTTTTCTTTATGTTGAGCTGTAATCCATACTGCAGACTATAATCTTTAATCTTCGTCAGTAAGTGCTTCAAGTCATCCTCACTTTCAGCAAGCAAAGCTGTGCTGTCAGCATATCACAAGTTGTTAATGAGTTTTCCTCCTATCCCGGTGCCACGCTCTCCTTTAGTCCGGGTTCTCGGATTATTTGCTCAGCATACAGATTGAGTAACAGGGTGAAAGGATATAACCCTGACGCATACCCTTCCTGATTTTCAACCAGTGTAAGTAGTCAAAAAACAGGGGAGCCACCTAGTGCCTCTCCACTTGTGAGCTTCAGCTGAAACTGCAGTAGGCTGTCCTCGTGACTCCAAGAACCTGGATAGACAGCTCTCTGTGCACCTGAGAAGCTGCCCCACAGGCAGGGAGAGAGTCACTCAGCCCCAAGGAGAGGGTCTGTCTCATAGTCAGGAGGAGGAGAGGAGTTTGCTATGCCAAGGGTATATGACCCAGAGGCCAAACCAGGCCACTGTCTGCTTCTGTAAATAAAGTTTTATTGGAACACAGCCACACGCATTTGTCACATAGTGTCTATAGCTACTTTTGTAATACAAAAACAAATGAGTACTCACAACAGAGTCCGTAGCTTGCTCAGATAAAATAATTGCAAACTGGCCCTTTACAGAAAGAAATTGATGACCCTTATTCCAACCTAAGGCAGCTCTGAGCTCTACTAGAGAGTGAGCTGAGGGGTGGGGATAGACAGGGAGAAAGAAGAGTTCAACTGAGTAAAACCCAGACCCACACATAAGTCAGAATACAAACAAATCCAAACAGTTTCTATGGAATCACCTCCAACTCCCGCAGCCTCCATGTTTGTGGAGTACCACTGCATTCTGTAGTTTGCAACAGCTGAACTTTCAGAAGGAGGTGGCCAGGCCCTTCTTCCAAGGTGCCTCAGGGTAGAACTGAACCCTGATCTCTCAGTTAGCAGTCACACATGCCCACCATCTGCACCCCTCCAAGACTCCTATGTAACTCAGGACACACATGACCTTGTGTGACCTTTCTAACAAAATGCCATCACCACCTTCCAAGACCATCTTGTCCACAATTATCTCAGATGACAGAAAACATGCTTTTCCTAATTTTTTTTTTTTTCTGTCATAAAATAAGGTTGAAATCTACTGGAAAAAATGAAGAATGCTGTTCCTTCTAAGGTGGTAATTAAGAGGCACGTGCTTTCCAGATGTTCCCAGCCACAGTGCAGCCTCACAGCACGTGGTTTTGTAATGCAACCCCACTCACAGAACAATTCACTATTCAAACACATCTATTCACTCCTGCTGAGAGAGAACCACAAACTCCTCACACAGCAGGTTCCTTGAAACCCGGCGAGAGGCTACCGCAATCCTGTCAAGGTGAGCTGCTTTGCTGAGCCAGGCACAAGGGAACAAGGAAAGGTGGTGGTTCATGTCGCTGAGAAGCTGGGCCAAAGCAAGAGGGCACACCAGCAGGGCAATCAGGCTTAAGAATGGCCTGGTCCCAGCAGGTGACCCTGGCTACTTCCAGCAAAGGGCTGCAGGAGCCAAGCAGCAGCTGCCCTGACTATCAGGAGGTCATCAAAGAAAGGCACGACTGAGGGAGGGACATCTGATTGGGTCTTGAAGGATGAATAGGAGTTTTCCAGGGCAAAGCATCCAAGAGAGTTTAATAGCTAGAAGTGGGAAATTCAGAGGGCTGGAGAAGAGTCGCAGAGGGTCTGGGGACAGACTTGGGCACAGGATAAGGCTCAAGATATCACTCAGAGGCCACACTGAGCCAGCAGGATGGAATTACTGATTTGCACTGGGAAGATAATGTTAACAGAAGAAGAGGGCAGAGTGCACTGACCCTGGGGGCCTCCAGCACAGTCCTTCCTCCTTGACATCCCCTCTGTTCCCCTAGGTGAGGAGGCCCCCCATTCTGCTTGGTATTAAGTACACATCCCAGCACCCTCCCTACTAGAGATCCTTGAAGTCAGAGGAAGAGAATATGAGGGGGGTGATATTCGATAGTGATGCCCACAGTCACCTTCTGATGTCCAAGAAAGTGTCTTAATCTCTATGACTAGGGAACCTGGTGCCCCCCTCACTGTCCTGAGACAGGGACCACACCCCAGACCCATTTCCCTGATCCATGGGCCCTCACGCATACCATCCTCTCCTGTGGGACCAGCAGCCCTCCCAGTCTCCCTCCTGCAGCCTGGCTGCTTAGGGCACTCACAATACGTGCTGCTGCTCCACCTTCCACACTGGGTCCACACACCCGGAGCACGGGGTCACATTCCACACCCCTCGGTGCCTTCCAGACCCCCGGGAAATCACACTCTGCCTCACAGAGGGGAAGCATTCGTCTGTCTCGTGCACCTGTGTCCACTGTGTTCCCATGGGGCGGCTCCCTAGCCCAAGGCTCGTGAGTGTGGCCTGCAGGAATGGCAAGAGGCCTTGGTCGTGCCCACAGTGAAGCTCGCAATTACTCGCTGAAAGGCTGCAGTTTAAACCCACCAAGGGGTGTCTCAGAAGACAGGCCTGGATCTGCCTCCAAAAAGTCAGAGCCTCAAAACCCTATGAGGGAGACTAGCAACTCTAGACAACATTCCCTGAAGGCTGACTGAAAGGCTGCCCTGACCCCATCCATGACATCGGGATGAACTTGACAGCAATTAAGGACCACAACGGAGTGCTGAAGTCTGCTTGCCGGTAACAGTACTGTTGGAGACAATGGGCAGGGCTGTCGTAACTGACAGCATGACCCCCACCGTGATCTCAGCCAGTACCTCTCCCTACCTCAGGTAGGGAATCAATGTCAGAGCACATACACTGGGTGCGCCCATCAGTTCCGGGAGGAGTGTGTACACTGGATGTGCCCTCAGCTCCGGAGGCAGCGTGTACACTGGGTGCACCCCTCAGCTCCGGGGGAAGGGCGTACGCTGAAAACCTTGGTTTGACATATCCTTCTGTCTTTTCCAGAAAGTAAGCAGTGTGGGGCACTGAGACTGGACTCCGACAGACCTGTGTTCTAATCCCAGCTTGGCCAGATCCCAGCTATGCACCCTGGGCCCCTCATTCTGCTCTCCAGAGGTCTGGCCTCCTCTTTCCTAGGAAGAATAAGGGTTCTCAGCAGAGGAGCCAGGTGTACATCATCTGAGAGGACACCTGCAAGGTGCTCAGCATGGCGCCAGGTGCACTGTCTGGAGTTATGGACAGATCAAAGGCACGGGGTGGGGGTGGGGGGTGATACAAACCACTCACCTGGTTGTAGAGGGCACAGATGTGCAGGGCCGTGTTCCCCGAGGCGTTCTGGGCACCCATGTCCGCCCCATAGAACAACAGGTGCTCCAGGTGCTGCACGTGTCCGTATCGGCAGGCCTGAAACACAGAGGCCACCCTGAGTCAGGAGCCCACCACACAGCAAGGATAAGCCCAGGGCCCTATGCAAACCCACCACCAACAAACTGCCATGCAGCCGTGTCCACCAAAACCCAAAGGTGTGGCCCGTGCTGGATCAGGACCCCCAACACATCAGCACCTAGTAGGGATAAAACCGTGACCCAAAGAGATGCTGAAGCCCCAAGCCCTGCACCTGGGAAGGGACCTTGTTTGGGGAAACAGGTCTTTTGAAGGAGTCACCAGTTAGGTCGACATGAGGTCACAGCAGTGCACAGTGTGTCCTGATCCTAATCCTGTCTGAGTGGTACCTTCATAAACCAGGGGACAGACAGAGACAGGGTCACACTCAGGGGAAGATGGACACCATGTGACAATAGCAGCAGGTGCACCTACAGGCAGCCAACGTGTAGCAAGGGCCACCAGCCGTCCCCTGGAGCTGGGGCAGACACGGACAGGCCTCCCTCTGAACCCTCGGGGGAACTGGATGCCATATGCTGATGTGGACCCTGGCTTCCAGACGGGGATACCACAAATGACTGTCCTTAGAGCCATCTACCTTGAAGGACCAATGTCATGATAAACAGAAAAGACTGAAGTTGCCAGAGATTTCATTTTACCTGGATTCATGATCAATGCCCAGCAGGAATCAAGAAATCAAATGATGTATTATTGTGTTGGGCAAATCTGCTGTAAAATACCTTTTTTAAGGCAAAATGTCACTTTGGGGACTCAAGTGCACCTGACCCACACCATGGTCTTTTCAGTCGCCTCATATGCATGTGAAAGCAGGACAATGGATAAGGAAACCACAGAAGAAATGATGCAGTTGAGCTGTGGTGTTGGCAAAGAATACTGGAAGTACCAGGGACTGCCAGAAGAACTAACAAGTCCATCTTGGAGGAAGCGCAGCTGGAATACTCCTTGGAAGTGAGAATGGCCAGACTTTGTCTCTCACACTTTGGTCATGTTGACAGAAGGAACCAGTCCCTGGAGAAGGACATCACGCGCGGTAGAGGGTAAAGGAAAGAGGGGAAGACCCTCAATGAGAGGGACTGACACAGTGGCTGCAATGATGGCCTCACATACAGCAAGGATTGTGAGGCTGGTCCAGGACCAGGCAGTGCTTCATTCTGTGGTACATGGGTCGTTAGGAGCCAGAGCCAACTCTACTGAACCTAACACTTTGTGTTGCTTCATGACGGCAGCCCCAGGATACCAAAACAACACTTCAAGTCTCATGGTGGCTGCCAGACCCCTGGCTGGGGTTCAGGAGCAGTATTCTCATGACAGGCTTGGGGACCTGTGCTTGGCTGCTTAACAGGGTCTGGGGGGGCTCCAAATCTTTTCCACTCAGATCGGGGTGCCAAGAAACCTGAAGAGGCCCCCAATGGCTTTCCCACCCTCAAATCAACAATCAGCCCTCACCCTGGCCTTGTTATACAAGCTCTACCCTCACGAAGAGGGGTGTGAAAATGGGCAGGAGAGGCAGCCTCTGGGTCCAGGGAGGGGGTCGTCCATCTCTTTGCCCGACAGCCCTGAATTTATTGCTTTAACATCGAACCCACCCCCTGCGGGGTCTGCTGGAAGAGGGAAGCCCACATGCGAGGGTCCCTTTTCCCAGCCCTTCTGCAGAGACGCATGTGTGTTCATACCCACAGGGCTCAGGGGGCAGAGAGGCCTGGATCCAAGTCAGGGACCCTCCATGACCAGAACTCACCTCCAGCCTGCATCCTTGCCTGAGATAGGAACATCATCACCCTATCAGGATACTTAGGAGGACCACGTGGGATAACATCCTCAGGCCTCCACCATGGGTGACCCTTCTCGCCCACGGCTCATGGAGTGAGGAGGTGCCTTGTGCAGTTGAGTCAGGCACCCTGCCCAGCTCTGGAGACCATGTCCCTGATATCACCAATGTACATGCCATGTGGCAGCACCATGTGACTCCCAAGCCCAGGGATGCCAAGTCCAGCCAGCCATGCTACCTCTCACCAGCACTTCCGGGGACCTTGGGGAAGCCAGCGAGTGGCCAGGACTGACAGGCACCTCAAAGGCAGGCAGATGGGGCCACTCTGCATGGGATCCCCAGAGGGAAGGAACAGGTCAGCCTTGGCACACGGGCAACTGCTGGGGGTGGAGTAAGAGGACCTACCTGAGGAGCTCTTATGACTAAGCCCTTCCAACCATGGAGGGCACCTGATGTTCACAGTCTACGAGAAGAGCTACACCCACCAACAAGCAGTGAGGACAGATGACTAAGAAGATACTCAAACTCATCCTTGGATGAGCTTGGAGAAAGCCTGAGAAACACAATTACGACCATTAGGCCTCCAGCAGAATAACCTCCTTAGTGGGCAGACACTGATGGCAGATACGGCTGCTTCCACCTGCCCTGCTGTGTAGTGAAGGCTGTGTGGCTGGGCCTGGCTGAGTGGCTGGGCAGCTGGTGGGAGTTATTCCCCATGGTGAGATTGTAATTAACTCCATGGTGGAATCTACTGGAGCAGCTGAGTAACTGCCTTAGGGATGCAGACTGCATCCAGTATATAAGAAGCAACTTTGAGTAATCTCTAGCTTTCAGCACGCTTGAACGCTGCACATAGCCAAGTCATTGTTCAGCAGCTTATCATGTTGCCCTGCGGATTTTGGGGCTTTTAATGGACTTGAATCAATGGCCTGCCACATGGTTTGGTAACATCGGAACTGTGCCTTTTTACTTGTCAACCTTGGGTTTGTCAGTCTCAGCAGCCAGTAGCTGCCTGACTGAGAAAAGCCTCTAGCTTCAGTGGCAGGGAGCAGGGAGGCAGAGCTGAAGTCCAATGTGGAGGGGCTTTCATCCAGCCACTAGACCCTGGCACTTTGAATTTGGACTTAAATCTTCCAAAACTGTAAGAGAATAAACTCCTATTTGTTCAAGCCACCCATTTCGTGGTATCTTTCTGTTAAAACAGCACAAAGTCACCCCACAATTCCTCTGGTTTTGGTCACTGGCATTGTATCTATTCTTCAGATGGTGTCTAAATTCAGGTGAGATATAATCAAGGTCATATTTTGGCTCCTGTGGACTTGTTTCAATTGTCTTCAGCTTCAACTTGAACTTGCACATGAGCAGTTGATGGCCTGTTCCAGAGTCAGCTCCTGGCCTTGTTTCAGCTGAAGATACTGAGCTTCTCCAACTTCTCTTTCTACAGATAAAGTTTATCTGATTCCTGGGTACCCCATCTGACAAGGTCCATGTGTATTAAAAAAAAAAAAAAAAAAAAACGGCCATCAAGTCAATTCCAACTCATAACCACCCCATGGGTTTCAGAGATGGTAAATCTTTACAGGAATAGATTGTCCAGTCTTCCTTCCATGGAGTGGCTTGTGGGTTTGAACCACCAACCTTCTGGTTAGCAGTCAAGTGCCTTAGACACTATGCCAACAGAGCTCCTTGGTCCATGTACATAGCCACTGTTTGGGTTGTTGAAAAAAGGTATCTGCAATGAGTAAGTCATTGGGCTGAATTCTATCATCTGATCTCTGGCATCATTTCTATCACCAAGGCTGTATTTTCCAACTACTGGTGATTCTCCCCTTTCAACTTTCACATTCCAATCACCAGGAATAATCAAAACGTCTTGACTTCATGTTTGGTCAATTTCAGACTGCTGAAGTTGGTAAAAATCTTCAACTTCCTTGTCTTTGGCTTTGGTGGTTGGTGCATAAATCTGAATAACTGTGGTATTAACTGGTCTTCCTTACAGGCATATGGATATTATCCTATCACTGACAGCAAAGTACTTCAGGACAGATCATGAAACATTCTTTGTGACAATTAATATGATGCCATTCCTCGTCATCATTCCCAGAATCATAGATCATATGGTTGTCTGATTCAAAATGGCCAATACCAGTCCATTTCAGCTCACTAATGCCTAAGACACTGATCTTTATGCGTTCCATTTCACTTTTGACAACTTCCAATTTTCCTACCTTCCTACTTCATACATTCCATGTTCCAATTATTAATGGATATTTGCAGCTGTTGTTTCTCATTTTGAGTCCTGTCCCATCAGCAAACTGAGGTCCATAGTAAAAGTTAACTCAGGCAAGGGACACCAAAACTAGCAGAACCACCTTGTTCAAGTGGTCAGAGTGTACATCACCAGGAATGGGACAGGTGGTCATCACGTGTCTTTGGATGGAATGCAACAAGTGAAAAGAAGACATCATCACTTCTAGGACATGTCAAAATGCACAGCCTGTGACTCGTGAGGCAACAACAAGCCCAACTGGAGAGAACATTCTAGAAAATGGGAGCCCAAGCAGAGTCTTCAAAAGTGTGAAGTTGGGAGGGTTAGGGAAAGCCTGAGGAGTGCTCTCAGATCCCAGCTGGATCCTTTCATTGTAAAGGGCAGTACAGAGACAATGACGGGCCCAGAGACACAGCGGGTAAACCACTTGGCTGCCAATGAAAAAGTCAGGTGTATCTGAAAGATTACAGCCTTGGAAATCTACAGGGCACTTCTACGCCATTCTACAGGGTCACTATGAGCGGAATCCACTCGATAGCAGTGGGTCATCAGGGCATCTGGGGACAGCTCAGGAGAGTCACCAGAAGGTCCAAGAATAAATTAAATCTAAGACAAAATAAAACCAAAACAAAATCCATAGCATGGAGTCAGTTCAGACCGCCACACCATAAACTCATATAGGTCTCCACATGACACAGTTTGTGCTCAGTTACTAACCAAAAGATTGGTGGTTCAAGGATACTTAGGAGGACCACGTGGGATAACATCCTCAGGCCTCCACCATGGGTGACCCCCACAGCCCCAAGGAGTCAGGGCTCATTGGTGGTTCAAGCCAACCCAGAGGCACCTTGGATTAAAGCCCTAGTGACGTATGTCAAAAAGTGAGTCACTGAAAACCCTACGGAGCACAGTTCTACCCTGATACACATGGAGCACCATGAATGTGAATCACCACCCGGCAGC